AAATAATTTAACAACCAGTTCTCTGCCCTAATTACCATCGGGGTAGGTGGGGCTCGGTGGTCATATGACTGGGTGGGCATGGCTAACTCAAGGTCACTCACCTCCATGGGCGCTTTGCTTTAGCTGTTACAATGTAACAAGGGTTAACAGGAGAGGCAGTTTCTGTAAGCAGGGCAATAAAAATTAGGCTAGAAACAACCCTAGAATGTTTCCTTCCTGCCTTCCTTACAGGATTAGCCCTATAAAGTGGGGAAAAAAACAAAAGATTTCTTCCAACAATCGGTTCTCTGAACTATTTAGAAAGTTACCAACCGGTTTTCCCGAATAGGTGCGAACTGGCTGAATCCCACCACTGGTGTGCATGCACCGTCCACGCATGAGCTTGGCATTCTGCACATGCGCTTTGCTCACACATGCGGCGTACACATATGCGCCTGGCCACAAAAATGTCCCCAAATAGGACAACAGAGCCTGGGCGGGTGGGCGGTCCAACCCGCGATTTCCACTCACTGTTCAGGCGAACCGGTCTAAACTGGCTGAATCCCTCTGATCCACTTCTGATGCCCGCAACTTTTTTCTGAATGTGCCGATTTTTCAGCCCACCTCAGTGGGATTTTAATCCTTTAGACCCCCACCCAATACTTTTCCTTTCTCAAGATGCTATTCAGGTAAAGTCTTCAAGTTACAACAACTTGTTTAGTAACCGTTCGAAGTTACGACGGCATGGAAAAAGAGTGACCCATGGCCGTTTTTCAGAGTCACGACCGTGGTTCACACAATCAAAATCTAGACGCTTAGCAACTCATATTTATGACGGTTGCAGCGCCCTGAGGGGGGGGTCACGTGATTCCCTTTTGCGACCTTCTGCGCCAAGCAGACTTGCATGGGGAAGATGGATTCGTTTAACAATCCGGGTGATTCATTGAAACAATCGCAGCAGGAAAGGCGGTAAAATGGGGCAAAAACTCAACGGCGTCGCTTAGCGATGGAAATTTTGGTCGTTTTAAGCTGAGGACTACATGTAACAAACCAGACTGATCTGTTCATTTGTCTGCCGAACGGAAGGGAGGAAACTTTCGCTGAAAAGAGGAGACTCGGAAAGACCCTAATTTTGCTCCTTTCTAATTTTTTATTGGATGTGCTGGAGACCAAAGTAAACCGCAGCCTCACGGCCGAACGAAAAAAACCCGGAGAAACAAGCGACGAGGCTCGCCGGGGGCCGCAGTTGCTGGCCGAGAGAATTGAAAACTGCAAGGGTGGGGTGGAAGAAGAGGGGGAACCCCCCCCCTTACCCCAAAAAAGAAAAAAAATGGCAGCTCACAACAAGGGGTGTAATAACCGAGACAGAGCAACAGGCCGGGAGACAATGGAGAAAGGCCGTTTTTTTTTCCCCGGTGCCGAAATAGGGTGGATGGTTGGTTACAAGCACGGATATGTGCAAGAGGCCGAGGTGTGTGTCTCAAAATGTGTGAGTCTCTGCCTTCTGCCAAGGAGGCTGGACCCATTTCATGGAGGAAGTCCCATCAAGGCTGCCTTTTTTTTTTTTTTCTTCAACCGGGGGCATTTCTTTGTGAAGGATGGGTCAGTATCATCACCGGATGGCGATCAAGCCAACATCCATGAGCTTCTGGATCTTCTGAGCAATGACAGGGTTTTTCAAGTGTCTGCGGGGGGGGAAAGGAGAAAGAGAGGGAATGCGGTCAGGAAGATCCCTAAAAATATTTTTCCCCCCATGCTTGGCCAATATTTAGCACTGTTGTGGCCCAGTGAGGAGGTTGGGGAGGAACCTGGGCCAGTCCTGGAGTCTGGGGAAGGCTCTGAGGAGGGCTCTGTGTCGGAGGCAGAGA